ATGTCACCCCACTATTTAAGAAGGCAGCATGCAAGAAAACAGGGAGCTATAGACAACAGGAGAACTGGCAAAGCTTGATTGGGTGAATAGATGAAAAGCTATGGCAGCAAATAAACAGTAGGAAACATTTCTTTTAAAAAACTAAAATGTTGACTAAAAATACTCAAAAAAAAATTAAGCAAGTAGGACCGATGTTTGGCTTAATCAAGAAGTGAAACATAAAAGGGGGGTATTTTCAGCATAGCAACCTGTAATTAGTGGAGTGCCACAGGGATTAGTGTTGGACTACAATTATCTACATTATAAATAACTTGGAAGAGGAAAGTGAATGTACTCCAGCCAAATTGCAGATGACACAAAAATAAGTGAGAAGGTAAGTGGCCGGGATGACACAAAGTCTGCAGAGGGATATATATAAATATAAAAGTTAAAACTTGGCAGATAGAATATAACATGGGGAAATGAAAGGTTAATGCATTTGGCAGGAAGAACAGAGGAGCTGAATATTATTTAAATGGAGAAAGGCTGCAGAAAGCTACAGAATAGGGGGATTTGGGTCACATCGCATATGAATCTCCAAAAGCAAGCATTTAAATTCAATGGGTAATAGGAAAGGCAAATGGAATGTCTGCATTTACTTCAAAAGGATTGGTGTATTAAAGTAGGGAGGTCTTGCTAACACTATAAAAGGTACTAGTCACACTACAGCTGGAATATTGTGAACAATTTTGGGTCTCTTATCTAAGAAAAGGCATACTGCCACTGGAGGCAGTTCAAAGAAGGTTCAAGAGCTTGATCCCACAATTATCTCATGAGGAAAGGTTGAGTAGATTGTGTCTGTACTCAATGGAGTTTAGAAGAATGAAAGGTGACCTTATGAAAGATTCAAGATTTTTAGGGGACTTGACAGGACAGATGTGGAAAGGTGGTTTCTCCTTTGGGACAGTTTAGGCCCAGAGGATATAATTAATCTCAGAATAGGGGGTTGCACATTTAAGACAGTGATGAGGAGGAATTTCTTCTCTGAGGGGAGTGAATCTGCAGAATTCTTTACTGCAGAGGGCTGTCAAGGCTGGGTTGTTAAGTATATCTGAGACCGGGATAGATACATTTTTAATCAGCAAAGGAATCAAGGGTTCTAAGGAAAAGGCAGACAAGTGGAGTCAAGGATCATTAGATCAACCACGATCTCACTGAACGGCAGACTAGATTCAATAAGCTGAATGGGCTACTTCTGCTTTTTTGTCTTATTCTTAAATGGAAGCTTTTTATAAAGTTGTAAATACTAATAAAAATTGTAAGGAGTGCTTTAGAGACCAAAGGGACACCAAAAAAATGGCTAAAAATTGAAATAAATTGAATGAGACTAAATTAGCTATGAACGATTATATACTGTATTGTAAAAGCTCTTACAAAGGAAGACAGTAGCTAAATGCTGGTTCCTTATGAGAAACTATTATGGGGCATGAGGAAATGGCAGAAACGTTGAACAAATATTTTATGTCTGTCTTCAAAATACAAGTCAAGGATTAGAAATTAGCCTAAGTGCTAAAGAGTAAGGAAATTAAAATACTTAATATCAACAACGAAGTGTAGGAACTAAAACCTAATAGATTTCTTGGACATGATGGTCAAAATAACAGGGCTCTGAAAGATAGTTGATACACTGGCGATGATTTTCTAAGATATTTTAGATTCTGGAATGGTTACAGCAGATTGGATCTTTGCAAACGCAACACAACCATTCAAAAAAGGTTGGAGATAGGGGAGAAAAAAAAGAGCTACAGGCCTGTTAAACTAAATCAGGCACTGGAACAGGATTAGGCTCTATTATTGAGGGAATTTTTACATTGTTCTTAAAACACTGAGTATGATCATAGTCAATGTGGTTTTACAAATGTGAAATAGTATTTGACAAATTTATCATTTTTTTGACAATGTAACAAGTAGATATTCAATGAGGTGCCACACAAATGGTTAATAAGCATGGTAAGGATTCATAGAATTTGTAGGAGTGAGCAATATATTCACATGGTTAGAGGATTTGTTAACAGATAGGAAGTATGGTAGTCATAAACAGGGCATTTTCAAGTTTATCGGCTGTGACCACTGGAGTGCCACAAGAATCAGTACTAGGACCTTAGCATTTCAGAATCTACATTAATAACTTATAGAGAGAGACCAAGATTAATTTATTTAACTTTGCTGCCAATACTATGGAAATGTAAGCTATACAGAGGCTGCAAAGAGATAATGGCAGGTTGAACGAATGGGGAACAAGATAGCAGGTGAAGTATGATGTCGGGAAATAACAACTTATTCACTTTGATTGCAAGATCAGAAATACTGAGTTTATCTTAACAGGTGTGAAATTTGTAAATGCTGATGGTCAGAGAGTCTTGAATATGCGTGAATGACAGTATGAAATTAGCACGCAGATACTGCAACTATTAGGAATGCAGATGACATGTTGGGCTTCTTTAAGTGGGATTGGGGTACAGGAATAAAGATGTCTTGCTACAACTGTACAGTACTTTAGTGAAACTGTACCTGCAACAGTGGTACAATTTTGACCTCTATATTTAAGTAAAGATATTCTGACATTAGAGGCAGCATAGGTAAAATTCACCAGATTGGCCCTTGGGCTCAGATGCTTACCCAGGATGAGAGAATGAGTAAACTGAGCTAATATTCTCTGGAGTTAGAAAGATATGAGGTGGTCTCGTTGAAAGGTAAAAGCAAAATACTGCACATGCTGGAAATCTGAAATAAATCAGAAAACGCTGGAGAAACTCAACATATCTGGTAGCATCTATGGAGAAAGAAAAACAGCTAATGCTTCAAGTCCGTTATAACTCTTTTCCAGAGCTGTTCTCTGAAATGTTAATTCTGTTTCTCTGGTGATGCTGCCAGACTTGCTGAGTTTCTCCAGCATTATTCTACATTTCTCTCAGATTTTGAAAGGGTTCAACAGGACGGACACTGGCAGGGAAATCTAAAATAGAGGCACAGATTTGGGATAAGGGGATAATCATTTTGGGGTTAAAATTAGGAGAATTTAATACACAAAAGATTATGAATTTTTGGAATTCTCTACCCCAGAAATCTTCTCAGTTGTGTTAATCCCAGAGTGTTTAGAGCACAGGTAATAAACTTCATGGGGAATGTGATGAAAACGACAAAGAATTATTCTGGAAGCAAGTAACCATCTTAAAGTAGAGGCAGTTGATAGCCGGGGGCACCTTGAACATGAGAATAGCTTTGGAAGAAACTTGGAAGTATGAAAAGCTTTGTATGTATGCTTTATAAACTATGAGAAGACATTTAGTCGAATCTAACATCAGAAAACAACGGAGTGATTAAGGAGAGTAGAAATGATAAAAGGACAATTCTAATTACAATACAGATTCTATTAATGGTGATGAATTGGTAACAGATTGACAGACAGGTTCCCAATCAAAACAGCAGTTTGTCAGGAGGGTGTTATATCCCCAGATGTGTTTAACCTGCACGATGAAGCAGTCTTCCAAGACACAGAAGATTGCAGTGACTTAAGAGGTAACACTGGAAATTGTAAATAAAGTGGAAGAAAGCAGCTTGGAACAACAACAGCAAAGGTGACTAAGACAACGGTGATAAGCAGAAACTTGATCTCAGAAGTAAAATTTGAATTAAGCAGATAAGTTTTGGAACAAGTGAGAAGGTTCACATACCTTGTGCAAATTACCTCAGAATTCAGACTTGACTAAGATTCAAAAGAGAATTGAAATGCCAAAACCAGCTTTGTTAGAATGAAAGATGCATTAATTATAATACATCGCAGAAGGTGAACCTGAATCTGAGGAAAATAATGCTGAGGTGCTATGTTTCATATTTTCGGCTATATGCCTCAGAACCATCAAAAACAAACAAAAATTCTGGCACTAAGCTGAATGCATTCAAGATGTGGATGTTCCGCATATCCTGTAAATCAGAAAGACTAACAATGAAGTGTTGGAATTGGCTGGAGAAAAGAGGAAGTCAGTGCATTACATCAATAAGACAAAGGTACGATATTTTGGTCACATCATTAGTAAAGGCAGTAGACAGAGATAATTATTTTAAGGAAAGCTCAATGTATAACTTAGGAGAAAGAAGCAAAGAAGAAAATTGAAGCCAGATATAATCATCAGGAGGCAGTTAGCTTATGTGGAATGTCTAAGACAGACTGAGATGGAGTCAACCTTCTGAGGAAATAACATCAACAAAGGGAACAGATAAAAGCCAGAAAGTTGTGGACACTCTGTCATTGAATGTTTTGAGGGTTGGGATGGCAGATTTCGACGTGTCAGGGAATCAAGAAATATGGGAAGTAAGTGGAAAGTGGAGTTGAAGCCTAAAGATTGGCCATCATAGTAAAGGATCGAGTATATGGTCTACTCATACTCATTGTGCTAACTTGTGTTCAATGGGTTGCTGGCAGCCTCCCAACAAGCCAGCAATTTGTTTTTGATATTTTAATTCTCTGCATGCACCAACACCTGCCTGCCCTTAACTTGGCGTTTGAAATTCTCCCAGGCCTCTTCACCCTTTTGTCCTCTAATATTCCTCTCACCTGTTTTGGTATCCTCATGTGTTTCTGTGTCAAATTGTATTTGATGTCACTCTTGTAAAATGACTTAGCATATTTAAATGCATTCAAGGCATTATATAAACGCAACTTACTGCTGATTTGTATTCTAGCATAATGCTTGTTTAGTCTACTGTCATATATGTTGGAGATTTTCTCAAAATCTTTGATGTCAGAATCTCTAAAATGGGAAGAACATGCAGCTAAGGGTGCAGGTCCCAGGATTGTTCAAATTAAGAATGAGAAACCACAAAGGAACTAAATGTGAGATCATTTTTATGTCTGTGCGCAGTGCCTTCTCCAGAGCAGGGTGCACTATTACAACATGGAATGGAAATAAGAAAAATGATTAAACATGAAATGCATAAAGTATCCACAAAAGGAACCATGGTGCGGCAAAACACTTTATTGTAGCTGGCCACAATCAAATCAAACATCTGCTACCATCGTGCATTCTCACTGCAGTTAAAGAACATTTCGGATCAATCAAGCAATCTGAATTTAACAAAAGATAATTAATGGAGAAATGGTTTCAGTTTTGGAACAACAGTTAACATTAATAAAATGTTTAATTATAAAGGACCATTCTTTACATATTTTGGGTTGCTGCAAAACTTCACATTAGTAAACATGGTTGCTATGTAACTATAACAAAAATTATAGTATACTTTAAAGTGAAGGAGTTATTCTAACTCTTAACTGTAACGCATAAAAAATCTTCACTGTGACTTAAGAATTTTGTCATGCACATTTATTCATTATTTCTGAAATACAAGTCAATTTTCGATAAGGAAAGCAAGTTGACAGCAATTCTTTTTAAAACAATGCAATGTTCTTCTGAAATTCTTCTCACTAGCAATTCCTGAAAACAAACCATAAGTTTGAACAAAATTTGCTTTAAATTCATGTGAACGAAATTCACACTCACGTGTCTTTAATGGAGGAAAACTACTGCCTCTCCAGAACAAAGTAAATAATGAAACATTCAAAATTAATATGAGTTTCTAAAATATTTAATTTCATTTTCAGAGATGAGTTTTGTAAGTTTGAAAGTAATATTGACAAGATTTTTACTTATTGAAGATTATTTTTCTAATATGTTAAAACAGCCCTCAGCACAGTTATGTGGTGGTCTCTAGGAATGCCGTGCAACATCTTAAACACTGCTGGTATACGTCTTCAAAATCTGCTTCAGTTCCCTGGAATAACAAAAGAAAGAAATTAAAAACACATCTCGACCACATAATCACTACTAAGCATCAAACATGGGAATCAAAAATAAAGCACAAATCCATCTGTTTTTTGGATTTTCCAAATTCTTCGGCAACTCTAAATTCTGAATGTACAAAAATAAATAAGAGAAATTTTCACTACTTACATAATAAGGATCTTGTATAATAAGATGATTCTGTGGGTCAAATGAGCCAAGCAGCTTTATTTCGGATTTGAGGTTCTTCACTTTATCAGCCATCCTTTTTAAATCTCTGAAAATTTATCAGATATAAACTAAGTTTTCTCTCCAGATTAACAATGAAACAGTTGATTAGTAAATTCAATATTAGGTTATTTCCCTTTATTCTTCAACATTGATGAACTAAAAATTAGCTATCATACAGAATGTGGCAAACACTATTTAAAGAAAAATATTTTTATAAAACTGTTAACTTTCAATCGTATCAAATTTTAAAAAATGAATCTACTGTATACAATTTGGCCAAGGAATGACAAATATATCAATTCAATATTAATTCAAAGATCAACCTTTTTGAATTTGTTTCATGGTTTAAATACGAGTTAATGAAAGTGTTAAAGTACAAAATGGCCACCCATGTAATAGACACTTCTGTGTAATCCTATTTTTAAGGCCTGTAGTCACATATATAGCTGAATAAAAATGTCACGATAAAAATGCCCCACCAATAAGTACATGATTCATAGTATATATTGGGTTTTCTAATTTATGTTACATATAAGATAATTGATGCCCAGCCCAACCTAGCATGTAAGAAGCAGGTGTGATGCTCAAATTAGGACTTATTGAAGAATATCATACAACCCTCAACATCATTAACAATCAAAGATGCACTTATACTGCACATTTGTTGTCAGTGCAAAATAGTTTTCAATTTGCACTGAGACTAAATGGATGGTGTAAATCCTGGATCTGCTTTTGATGTGACTAACTAACTAGATGTGTTTGAGGAAGTAACTGGCTAGATGAGGACAATGCTGTTCAAGTAGTGTACACGGACTTCCAGAAGACATCTGATACAGTGCCACACAACAAACATGAGAGAAACACAACAGGTCATACAATAAAGAGATGGCAGTGACGTGACAAAATATCACAAATTAATAGGAAACAGAGAATAATGATCAATGGATATTATTCGGGCTGGAGGAAGATTTGTAGTGAAGTTCTCCAGTGGTTGATATTGGGAACCTTGCTTTTCCTGATATATTGATGATCTAGATTCTGATGAATAGGGGAGAAAATTTCAAAGTTTGCAAATAGCACAAAACTTGAAAGAGTTGTAAACTCTGAGGAGGACAGTGCAGAACACAAAGGACAGAAGCAAATTCATGGAGTGACTGGAGAGGTTCAATGTAGAGACGTGTGAGGTGATGCATTTTGGTAGGAATAACACTGAAAGACAATACAAAATAGGGGGTGCATGTCTAAAGTGGATGCAGGAGCAGCGGGACCTTGGTGTACCCTGGCACATATCACTGAAGGTGGCAGGACAGTTGGAAAGCAGTTAATAAAGCACACAGTACCAGTAGGGGCATAAAGTACAAGAGCAAGGAGTTGATGCTGAGCTTGTATAAGACACTTGTTCGACCTCAGCTGGAGGATTGTGTACAGTTCTGAGTGCCATGTCATAGGTGCGCAAATATATTAGAGAGAGTGCAGGAGCAATTTACAAGAACAGTTTCAGGGATGAGGAACTTCTGACGTAAGGATAGACCGAAGAAGTTGGGATTATTCTTTTTGGAGAGAAGGCAGCCAAGAGGAGATCTGATAGAGGTTTTCACAATCATGGGCAAGTTCGCTAGAGCGCATCGAAGAAGTTATTCCCACCTTAAAAGAATCAAGAACAAGAGGACACAGATTTAAAGTGATTTGCAAAAGGAGCAAATGTGTTCTGAAAAAAATCTCTTTTAACACAGTGAGTAATTAAAAGATGGAATACTCTGCCTGGAAGTGAGGTGGAGAAAGGTTCAAATGAGACATTCAAGAGGATTATTTGGGGAGAAATAATGTGCAAAGATATGGGGAAAAAGCAGGAGATTGGCACTTGGTAATAACGCTCATTTGAAGAGTTGGTGCAGACAATAAGGGCTGAACGGCTCCTTCTGTGCTCTAACATTTTCGTGATTTAAAAAAATCTATCAATCTCACATTTAAAATTATTTATCAAGATAGCACCGACTCCTTTGTGAAAAGGTTCCATCCTTTTGCCACACTTTGCAGCAAGTGTGTTATAACTTCTCTCCTGAATGGCATGTCCCTGACTTTAAGATTATGTCCCTTTCTTCTCATCTAGTATAAAATGTTTCTCACCATCTACTCAACCATTTCCTTGCAAAGTGCTAATCAAATCATCCTATAATATCACATTATCACAGGGAATGCACTCCAAGCAATCTCTCCTCTTAATCTAGCCCTTAGAAGGCAAGTAGCATTTTGCTAAATTTGCTAAATTGCTGCATCCCTTCTTTAGGTTAATACATACTTTCTAAGAAGCAGTGTCAAATGTTGCAAGGTGTTGCAGGTATAATCTACAAGGGACTTGAATAGCTGTAGCAGAACTAATCCCCGTCCCTACATTTTATACTCTAGCTCTCTAGGAAGAAAAAAAAACTGATTGGCATTTGTATAGCACTTTTCATGACTACCTGTTTTCTCAAAATGCTTTACAGCACATTGAAGTACCTTTGAAATGTGGCAATTGTTTTTGTGATTCCAACTGAGGGACGTAATTTTGGCAATGACATGGAGTAACTCTCCTGCTCTTCTTCAAAATAGTGTTATAGGCTTTTTTTGCATTCACCTGAACATCAGACGGAGCCTCAATTTAACATCTCATCTATCAGATGGCTGCGCGTCGGCAAAACTAAAGAACTGATCATTGCCTTCAGAAAGAGAGGGGGAGAACATGCCCCCATCTACATGAACAGAACTGTGGTTGAGAGGGTGGAGACTGTCAAGTTCCTTGGAATGACGATAACCGATAACCTGTCTTGGACTTCCCACGGAGATGCGACGGTTAAGGAGGCACAACAATGTCTCTTCTTCCTCAGGCGGCTCAGGAAATTTGGCATGTCCGTAGGGACCCTCACCAACTTCTACAGACGCAGCACTGAAAGCATACTGTCTGGGTGCATAACAGTCTGGTATGACAACAGCTGTGCCCAGGCCCATAAGAAACTACAGAAGGTTGTGAGCACAGCCCAGACCATCACAGACGCCAACCTTCCGTCCATGGACTCCATTTACACAGCTTGTTCCCACGGAAAGCCTGCCAATATCATCAAAAACCTATCGCACCCCAGCAATGATCTCCTACAACCTTTTCCGTCAGACAGAAGATACAGAATCTTGAACTCAGGCACCAGCAGGTACAGGAACAGCTTCTGCCTGGCCGTTATTAGACCAATGAATGGACTCCCTAGCCTTAAATAATGCTGATCTTGCTAACATGGATCTCGCCGAGTGTACGCCCTGCGCAATGTAAACTGTATGCCTCTGTCTAAGTTTTTTACAACCTTTCATTTCTGCATCCTTGCTTACTATGATCTGCCTATACTGCTGGTTAACGAAGCTTTTCACTGTACTCCAGTACATGTGACAATAAAGCAATCAATCAATTTCAGCAGTGCAGCAGTGCCTGAGTACTGCATTGATTTTTGTGGTCAAGGCAATGAACCATAATCCTTGTGACTCAGGTGAGAGTGCAATCAATTGAGTAAGGCTTGACTCCGGTTATAAGAGGATAATATAATCAGTCTTTTTGATTTTATGTTTCTGATTACTATATTTTTCAAGGAGTTAGATATAGTTCCTAAGGCTAAAGGGATAAAAGAGTGTGGAGTGAAAGCAGGAACAGGGCACCAATTTCGATGAACAGCCATTATCGTACTGAATGGCAGGGAGGCTTGAAGGGCCAAAAGGTCTCCTATCTTCTATGTTTAAATTTTAATTATCAGTGTACATAGATCCCTAAACCCATGAACTTCCACCATTCCTAGATTTTAGCCAATTAAATACTGAAAGTCTTTCCTTTTTTGGTTCTAAACAGATGACCTGCCACTTACCCATTTTGAAATTCACTGCCACAGTTTTGCTCACTTTTTTAACCCAAAAATGCTCCTTTTTAGTTTTATGTTCACATCTACATTAAGTTATTAATCTTTGCGCCATCTGGAGACATACCCAAACTATTAATGCAGCAAATATTTGAGATCTAGTACAGATCATCGTAACTATGACAGACAAAATAGGAGAAGTAAGAAAAATAATCAATGATGCCTTCAACACCCTCTAAGGCAAAGAGATGCAGAGTTGCACAACTGCTCATCCCAGCTATCAATCTAGTAACCTTCTCTGAACTGCCCCCAATGCATTTTATATCCTTTCCACAAAATAGCACTATTGAAATGATACAGCACAGGAGGGGGCCTTTCAGCCCATCTTGTCCATGTGGCCCCAAAACACCCAAATGCCCTTTGTAATCCCACCTTCTTGCACATAGCCCAGCAGCTTACAGCTCTAAAGTTCATCTCCAGATATTTTTGAGAGTTTCAGGGTCTCTGCCTCCACCACCAACTCAGGCAGCAAATTCCAGACACTCACCACCCTCTGCATAAAGATTCCTCTAATCCTTCTGCCACTTAGTTTCAATCTATGACGCTTGGTTTTGAACTCTTTGCTAAAGGAAATAGGCACCTCCTGTCTACTTTATCTCTACTCCTCTCCTATCCATGTTAATATGTTACCAGTTCAGCACTTTTGTCCATTGTTGTAATGAGGTAAGAAGCTGAGTCATTCTGGTGGAAACTAAGCATCAGTAAGCAGGTTATTACTATTTAAGTGTTGTTTGATGACCCTTGAAGACACCTTCTATCACTTTACTGATGATGGAGGCGAGACCAATGAGGCGATAATTAGCCGGGTTGGATTTATCCTGCCTTTGTGGACAGGACACACCTGGGCTTTATTCCTTAGTATCAGGAAGATACGTGTTGTAGCTGTACTGTAGCAACTTGGGGCTATTTCCAAAGCACAGATCTACAGTACTGTTGCTGAAATATTCTCAGGTCCCACTGCCTTTGCAGAATCCCCTGCTTTAGCCATTTCTTGACATCACCTGGTGTGAATCAAGTTGGCTGAAGATTGGCATCTGTGACACAAGAGACCTCAGGAGGCTGAAATGGCACATCCACTCAACACTTCCAGCTAAAGATGGTTAATCTAGCATTTGGAGATAGTAGGAATTGCCGATGCTGGACAATCTGAGATAATAAGGTGTAGAGCTGGATGAACGCAGCAGGCCAAGCAGCATCAGAGGAGCAGGAAAGCTGACATTTCGGGTCTGGACCCTTCTTCAGAAAAAAAATCTAGCATTTACTGTTTTATTTACTGAATGATTGGCAGAAACTGCTTTTGTCTCAAGGCTATAAAACAAGTACCAGAGATTATAATGTTTTTTGATATCTGATCACTTTTCTGTTTAAATATTAAAGTGTGTTATGGTCAACATTTGTTATAGTAAATGCATATGGCAATTATTATCCCTCAATTTCTTCAGTTGTTCTCTGGTTCTTCTACCAAATCTGCAGTGGAACATCATTCTTATTTGCTGTACTGAAAATAGAAAAGACAACCTTGGACACAGGGTTTATACTGTAGTGTTAGCTTGCTCAGTGATGGCACTCTTGGCTGAATAAAAAGGCTGTAGTTTCAAATTTCCTCAGGTCTCCAGCATGTAATCTAGTACAGGAGAGTGTTGGGTATAACATTAAATCAAGGTACATATATAAGAGATCCTGCAGCACCTTTGCAAGTAGGAAACTTTTCCAAAATGCTGAACGACAGTGTACCCAATCATCAAATTAATTGAGAATTAAATTTATTTAACTCTGCTTGCGGGACCTTTCTTTGACAATCTTGTGTTATGCAGGTGCTTCATCATTAAAATTATTTTTGGGATTTGTGTTTAAGGAATTGTAAATGGTGGTTCATTTGAAAAGACTGGGGAGAAACTTGGACACTTTTTTTTAAAAAGGGCATACTGGAACTTTAACACTTTTGTTTGGACTTATCTACTGTAACTTACATACCTAGGTTTATAGTTTTCAGGAGTTAGTTTTATTTTGGAAATTATTTGGAGTTCATTTGCAGTCTAGACTCCTGAGAGAGAGAAACTACCAAGCTCATCCTCACATTTCCACAAAAACATCTGCGAGATCCAGAGTGTCAACTAAAACACCTTCCAACTATTTCCCTGAAAAGACTCAGAAGAGGGTTCTTCTCGACATTTTTTGAATGAACTGCATTGACAAAAGTCTCAGTGACAACTGCTTGTGTACTGTGACACCCATCTAAGTGAAACCACTGACTGAAAGCCACGTTGAACATTCATACCATATACTTTCTTTCCCTTTAAGAATGAACAATTATTAGTTAAAAATGTTCTTAATCACAAGTTAACCTCTGAAGAGAAAGTTCTTTAACTTTTTTTCTTTAATTGGGGTCTGCGTATGTATGCACGTGTGGCGTTATTTAGAAAGTAAGTTTTTATACTTCACACTGTGTATCAATCAGCATTACATCCTTGCTGAATAAGTCCCGTTTTCACAATAAATATGAAATGTTGTTGTTTATTTAAGAAACCTAGCTGATAGTTCCTTTAATTCTAAACCCAGTATGAAGCATATAAATAGCCATATTGGTAAATGGGCAAGGCATTTAATTTTATGCCATGACCAGTGCAGTGGTAGGACTGGACAGCAACAGTGCATTCTGCAAATGTCAGTCTTAACATATTTTATTGCCAGGAATACTAAAATTATACACATTTTTATTCTATAGTAGGACATGGGCATCCCTTTCGAATGGCACAAGGAATCTTAATTACTATCAAATTACCTCTGTTATTGAAAATTAACTGTTATGAGTATTCCTTCAAATATAATTGTGAGAGATTTACTTTTTTGACTCCCAATTCATCCAATCTTTCTTTCCCCCTCTACTGTGCTTTCTGTATCTAATTTGAGAATGCATTCACTATTCTTACATTTCCTGGTTTAGATCATATGCCGTTTATTTCACAAGAATTCAGTCTGATTTGGCTCATGAGTGCATTGCAGAGGGTGCCACATCCTTTCCATCTCCACATGCAGCAATTTCTACTGCAAAACGTCAGGAAAATTAAACAGCAAGTAGAAGTGAATACACTGCTAGCTAGAGCGAATTCTGGCCCATTCTTTTGAATAAAAACACAAGAAGAAATACACAATCACCAACCTAACTCCTATTTTACATGTCTTAAAAGTCTAAAATCTATAGTAATTTCTCATAATTGACTAATAAGCATACTGGTGAGGTTTGACAACAGCATATGCAAATTAGCCAATGTTTTTGGAACTACCAAAATTGAAAAAATTCTGTGAACTGGCAATAACTGTGGATTGTAATTTAGTCACGTGTAATTTGCGAGCTTATGCAAACTTCGGTATTAAGTGATATCTCAAAATAAACCAATTTTCTTGAAAGTTTTCTTGTCTTTAGCTTTTGCTGTATCTTGGTTTACCTACTGTTTTAAATGTTAAAATTAAAAATTGAAATACTTTTATACTTGCCCAGTGATAAAAATTGACTTCTTGGAGAAGAATGTACTTAACCTCTGTCGGCTAATTTTACAGTGGGGAGTAGGATTTCCTGAGAGGCCATAATAAAAGGTTAAAAATTGCTTATTCAATTGTTTGATAAATGTGCCAAATGAAGACTTTTTAAAAAAACCTTGAAGCTCCAGATGATGACTACAACTACTTCTTCCAGAAGTGTCACGTTCTTCCCAACGTGAAAGGTCAGGGGACTTACAACTAGATCCATGTTGTACAAAAACAGATGCTGGATCAGGAACCATCATTTTTTTTTTGTCAAATTAAATGAACTCAATGAGCTCTAATTATTTAAAAATAATAGAGGCCGAGGGAGAAAGCTGGTTCTAAATACTGACGCTGTTGAACAACAAAAATAGATGGAGTGGAATGCACAGCAACCCCAACAGGACAGATCAAATTAAGGATTTGCTTAGCCCCATGTAGATTTACCAGTGGAATCTTTCATCCACTTATGCATGCAATGGATAAGTTGGGAGCCTTGTACAGCAAACTTTGTTTTAACTGGCACCTTATGAACCGGTAGTCTCAAGAAGGGAAAAATTACTTAACTGAAAGACTGAAAGTTTACTGCATTATCACAATCTCTGCAATTAAAGTCAACTGAGGGTGCGAGTAAGAAGGCTCTCTGCTGGTAAGTTCTATTTAAGGCAAAGTTGCATTATTATTTAAGTGATTTATTTTGTACATATAGTATAACAAATATGTGTATACCCCCTGCATTATGTTTCTGTTACTTACTTTTTTAAAACACTAATTATGTGGACCTCTTGATCATCCAGAATATTTGATCAACCGGTATACTCCTAGTCCCACAGGTGCTGGTGAATAAACTTTGCTGTATATACTTTCTAGATTTGCAAAAATCTGACTCTTACTTGAAGTCAGATCACGATACTGGCCTCCAGCTTCCTGTATATATTACAAAATCTTACAAATGGAGGAGGATGACTTTGTGCATCTGCCATTGCTTTGATGTACAGCAAGTGCTGGAAGACTTGGGCAGTTTTCAACACCCAGCTGATTTCTACAATTGGCAAGGCCATTCACTCTGCTTCATTACCAACCAAGCCAAGATGAAAATCTATTCCAGCTATTTTTCTGACATTTCAGGGAAAGCAAACTTAAAACACATTCAGAAGTTCTTGCTCAAAATTGATGTGCACGTGTTTCCAGCCAGTGAAAAATGATAAATGAAAATTGTTTTGGTCAATTTCAGTCTTTTTGTGGTGGATGGAACATGGCAGTATGAAAAAGACTTGATTTGTCAATTATATAATGGGTGTCTCTCGTGGAGACGAAGGATCAGATTCACACTGGTGCAGTAAGGAATGCTTCTTCAGTTATAGCACATTGCTGGCGTGGTGTAAGGCATGTTGCTCTTCAGCTTCAGTACTTTACGGATATACAGAGATTGTATCCAAGTCCCAAAATGCAAAGAGCAGATTTAAAGTCTCAATTTTCATAATAAAATTAAATACATAATTTTGTGGTTTAAAAAAAGGAGCGCACACACACACACGCTTCTACTATGTACCAATTTGCTCTTTAAAGACAAACAATATATGTTCATCAGTAAAGCTTCAACAATCAGTAGTCAGGATAATTTTTATCAGTTTAAAATATTCATGGGAGAAAGGTGGGGAACATAAATATCTTTAAATTCCAAGTTAATATAAACTCCACTTAAAGCTTAGGTTAAATGGAAGGTAAGTTATAGGGCAATGTTCTCTTTACATCACTCTAGCAATCTATACCTGCAACAGCATTCTTTGCTGCACCAGTGTGATTCTGATCCTTTGTCTCCATGAGAGCGATCTATAATATACTTGGCATATCATAAGTGTCGTCCATACTGCCATCTTCCATCCACCCAACAAGACTGAAACAGACCAAAATAATTTTCATTTTTTATTGCATTTCCCTGGCTGTAAAAACTTGCCAAAGCTAAATTTGAGCAAAACCTTGTGAATATATTTTGTAAGCCCAAAAAAATCCAATCACATTTAAACACACAATGCATTATGGTTTCTGAGGAGTGATGGAAAGACTATAATTCAGTTGTAATTTCTGCAGACTCAAAAACTCCAAATAGCTTTCATTCCTGACACAACATTCCCACTATGTATAATGTTTTTAAATGGAGGTAATATACAAGGGGAAAAAGCCAGAAAATGCCAGAGATGTGTCGATGCTAGTAATGTGCATCTTAACATAAGACTTGGAGCATCTGCAATGCTTAGCTTTTGTGTTAGAAGTGAGGAACTTATAGTTACAATTATTAAACTTTTACTGGCAATGGTCATCATTGCAACTTTGCCACTATTGAGGCACAGAATTGCAAGGAAGCTTTTACCATAACTGGACATTGTGTATAGAGTCTGATTAAAAAATGATATATAATGGAGGTAAACTCAAAGCCTAAACCACTTAATATCAAGAAACAAAAAAAGGTCAAATGAAAAACTGGAAAGGCATTTTAAAATGCAATTCAATTATACATTATTAAACGTTCATCAAACTAGGACCATTGCTGAAAACAAGGACAATAGTTGTTAATGATCTACTCACCTCAAATTGTTTTCATCCATGCATAGCATGTAATCAAATGTTAAGAAATCATTCTTGGTTACCTAGGAGTTTAAAAAAATACTTAATGTTTGATTCTTTGATAACAACTGTATGCTATAATGGAATAAGTGAATTTGAAATTATCTACAAACTTTTTTGTTTGATGACTAGACCAGAGAAAAGCCTCTGATAACAGTATTTCAACTTGTAAACTAATTATGGTCAACTGACATTGCTAAGCTAACATTAATTTCAAATTATTTTGCACATATCTAACAGCACATGCCAGGCAGATGTTTATGTATGAATGCTTTGCTGTCAGCTTTGGCTCACTTTCAACTTGTGGCAGAAGTTATAGATGTAAGTTGCACTCAGGATAGATCATCATAAATTAGGCTGATACTCCAGTGAAGCACCGACAGAATGGAATTTTGCCTGCTGTTACATCTGGACACCAGAGACTCTAGGGCACTATTCAAGAGCAAGGAAATTCTGCTTGTGTCATGATAAACACTTAGCTCTCAATCAATACCACTGAAGCATTTTAACGAGTCAATTATTTTATTGTTGTGGCCAAATGAACTGCCATCCTTCCTTATATTATAATGACAACACTTCAAATGTAATTAATTGGGTCTGAAGCACATTAGGACTCTTTGAGGTCATGGAAAATGCTTTAAGTGAAATTTATTTCTTCCTTCTTTTAATATATGCTCTCTTAAAAAACAAACATTAAATAAATACTGATCAGTCTACAGTCTACTAAAAGAGGATTGATGGCAGTAGCCTGGGAATATAATTCTAAATCCTACAGACAAAGTACTTTTTAAAAAATCCAACATAATAAGTTGTGTTACAAGGGGTTACCGAGTTCAACAGTATTTTAAAGTTGCTATATTGCACTTTTTTTTTTTTTAAGTGTACACCATACAATGCCTTACAGCCTTCACAGGTCAAGTACATAAACAGACACTGTGGCAAGATTATGCAGTCTCTTCCTGTGCAGCATTCTGCCAAGGAAATCAGCCCATCTGCCACTGAAATAATCATTCTTGCTTTTTGTCACCTTGATGCTCAACTATTTCAATGTTCTCATGAGTAGCCTCCTTTTTTAAAAAAAAGATTTCAAAATACAAGATCAAAGGCAGGAACTATGAAACGAGTAAAGATACAAAAGTTGTCTCTTGGGTGAAAACAGCAGGTCTGAATAGTTGCTGACTGAAATTATAGGAAATAAAGAGAAATGAAACAAAATCTAAGCTAACCAAAACAAAAACAAAACATGGATAGCAGTTACTTTCTAAAATTTCTGAACCCAATGTTGAGAACAGGCTATAAGGTAGTCAGCCAACAGTTGAGGTGCTCATTGAATTTGTGTTGACCTTCAATTTGCATTAAGATGCTAGCATTACTATCTATCCCAAGTCAAGAAATGCAAGACTACATCTTTCTTAAAATATTGTTTAGTATTTACTTGTCCCAGACGAACTCAGAAGACGGCTTTTCTGCTAATGGTGGGAATAAATGCAAGCTATAACTAAGTGTTGGTTGCCAATAACCACTGTATAGGAACAGGACCCAGTCAATAATGCAGGTAGTGTGTTTCCACACTTACCATCAGCTCATGGAGGGAGGTGGTCTTGGTACCAATTTTAAACATCACCCAAGTAAGCTTGTAATGCCAACAAGACACCATTTTTAGTTCTGCAGAGGCACATGGAAATCTAACTCCTGAACAGATCTCTAAACTCAACTTCCTTCTCTTCCATCTAACACCAAGTTCATCGCCAAGACCTTCAGGCTAAATCTCGTTTGTCCTGATTTGTGATCAGCATCAACAAGGGAGCATCCAACTTTCACAATGATCAGACATTGTCTCCACTTTACAATGATGCCTACATGCGGGTTACTGCACTGATATAACAATAATGCAATTGTTAAGCAACCAACGTAATTTCTTATCAATTAATCTATGAGAGCCCAGACATGATACAAATAAAACCCCAGCAGTGAAACACTTCGGAAACCCCAATCACCCTTACCTTCCAGGCATGCTATATTTAACACATATCATGTTTGTATTACAATTACTAGATATAAGAGGTTCAGCATTAGGTTTACACAATTCCTAGAGCATAAATACTCAGTAGATAAATTGGAGATACTAGTGCTGCTGTCCTTGAAGAAGTTGAGGTTGACAAGAGATTTGATGGAGGACATCAAAATCTTGAGGGATCTGGACAAAGCAGATGTGAAAATACTGCTCCTGTTGGCTGAAAGGTAAAGAATCAGAGGGTACTAATTATGTCTTCGCCACTTAACGGTCTCAAGTGTGGTGAGGGCAGACAGGAGGCCTAAAGCATCACAATCCCCACCCCTGTTAAAATTTAGAAAAGGTTGCAGCAGATGGGAAGGTGGAGAGTGGGTCACATAGGTAATTTTACAGGCACCTCAATAGCAGAGGGACTGTAAAATTCTTCCATGATTCCTTGAGACAAGATGCAAGATTAATTGAGAGTGATTTGGGACAGAGGGGAGAGATTTTTACTTTTACGCGGAGGGCAGTGAAGCTGTGGAATGCACTTCCAAATTTAATGATCAAAGCAGAAACAACATCTATATTAAATAAGAGAGAAAAGAAAAATGGACATAGATCAGGACATGGGATCATGACTTCTGTTTTTGTGTAAACAAACACCAACATGGACCGATTAAGCTGAAAAGCATTGTTTTCATGGTGCAATGTAAACAAGATTGCTAGACTGCATTCTTAAAGAATTTTCTGAAGTCTTTCAAACTAGCTAAAATTGTTTCAGTTAGAAGAGTTACTTTCAGATGCAGTTACCGTTATCTTGAGAAAGCCATGATAAAAAATTTAAAATGCACAGGCCCATTAAATGTCTCAAAAAGTGAAGACACTGATTAATTATCAAAAAGTTTGTAAAGACAAGAATTTGGAATATACAATGAAAAATTGCTTCTCCATGTATGATAATGAAATGAATAAACATTTATGTAACAAAAGAAAAACTTGCATTTATACAGTGACATTTTACAACCACTGGACACCTCAATGCATTTTACAGTCAAATAAGTACTTCTGACGTGAAGTCATTGCGCTCCAAGAATGGCAACTGCCAAAGTAGTACACAGTAAACTTCCACAAATAGACCCACAAACGTGATCATGACCAGATAATCTCCTTTTGTGAAATTGATTGAGGGATAAATATTGGTCATAACACTGGTCATATCATGCCAAGCAATTAAGTAATGAAAACAAATTCGGACTTGTTGAGAGAGTGGCATAGTAATAATATCGCTAGACTAGTAACCCAGAGATACAGATTAATGAAAACCTCACCACAGCAGCTGATGGAATTTTAATTCAAATAACAAAGCTGTAAATATAAAGCTAATTTCAGTAATGGTGACCATGACAACCATAACTGATTGTTAAAGAAACACATCTGGTTCATCAATATCCTTTGGAAAAGGAAATCCTGACTTGGTATGGCAATGTGGATTTTTTCCGGTCCTTCGAAATTCTCACATATCCAGGAATTTAAAGCAAAAACATTTTTTCATTTAATTAAAACAGTAGTGATTAATTTTTAAACAGCATATGTACACATATCTCTTAACAGACGAGTGCAGTCCAATCATAAATGAATCAGGAACCAACCTTGAAAGGTATTCTCAAAAACCTCTGCTTACAGAGATTTAATTAGATGCATCAGTGTTGTTTACTATTCATTCACTGGATGTGGGTGTTACTGGCTAGGCCAGCATTTACTGTTCATTCCCAATTACCCAGAGTTAATAGTCATACACACTGCTGTGGACTGCAGTCACATGTAGGCAAAACCAGGTAAGAACAGCAGTTTTCTTTCCTAAAGGCCATTAGTGATCCAGATGTGTTTCAAATGTAACTGCGGTTTGAACCCCAGAATTAAAAACAGTATAAAAATCAGGAAACAGCATGCACATCTGTCCATTTGATACTCTAAATCTTACAATTCCTAATGCAACTTTTCTGTGACAATTTCAGTAAAAGTGCAGAGAATGTAACTTGTGAAGTGCACGGAGACTTCCCAGCAGCAGAAAATCCCAAAGTTACATGACATACACTCTTAATAAATTGTCCATCAATAATCCATAGTGACCGATTTATTAAATTTCAAAGTCTTAAATGGATGTGGAGCATTTCTGCATTTTAAAAACAATATATTTTGTGTCACATACAATGGGCAATGTTTCCATTTCTTAAATCAGCATAATTTGAGCAGAATCAGATCAAAAGATAACAGAATTTATACTTCAAGCAAGTTATGCCCGAAGACACTTACAATTATATTATCATACTTCTTTCAGCGCTGCTAGGTTTTTTTGATGCATGAAACAGCACCGACATGGATCAATATCTGAGTCCAGGCTGGCTGATTCTGTCACTATGGTCTCCTTTTCCTACCCACGGAAATGACCTTCCTCTCCACCACACCATCCACCAGCACATCTAAGTCCCTTTTGCTGAAAGGGGGTGACAGTGTCCCATTTTGGGATATGCCTTGCCTTGAAATGGCACAGCAGCACAGTATGAGGGTCAGGTTCTGGCTTGCAATGTTTGACGTGAAATGAAGCTAGTGTTTAAATATGGTGCCAGCTGCATGATTGGTGCATGGTCCAGGTAGCAGAAAGCATGTCTATCTGTGGTGCCATATGATTGTAGGAAAAGTGAACTTTACAGGCTGAATGCAAAATTAATGAGGTGTTCAGTGGAAGATTGCGCGAGAAAAGTCATTGCAAGCCAGGCTACAGAAATACCCCAAGAGACTCCTTGAAAATAACAGCCAACGAAAAGGGAAAATTGAGCTGAGTATCTCAAAATATTTCAATCTTATGAACTTCATTCATAATTGGAACACAATGCTGTTGATGCCAGGAATGCAGAAATAAGATTTTTAAGGAAGTGCTATCACTATCTTCAGCCTCACTGTGAAATAAATCATCCTTAAGTAGTTTTTATAGGACCCTCCTCCCCAATATTGATACCTGATTGGCATCATTCCCATTCAACAACTGATTTTGATCCTGTCCATGACTCACTTCATTGCTTCACAGTAAATTTTAAATTTTGGATTATGAAAATTCAATCAGGTGGAATCTTAAATCAAATTCTTGATTGTGCCCAAAACTTAAATAGCATCTGCATACTGTTCTCCTTTTAAAACAGTGTATATTTTGACTTAGTTTGAGTAGTGCTGCAAAATATTTGCATGAGAAGATATGTCAGTTAGATTTCAGGTATTAGAGATGAGAGTCTCTGTGTCACTCAAACAAACAAAGAAACTTGGCAACAGCCTTTAAGGAATCAGGATTTGCCTGTCTTTTAGTCCAGAATAGACCTGAGGTTGTATTCATTAGCAGCCATTAGACTTTGAGACTAAAAGAAAACACCGGTGTACAGTTTTACTTTTTGAGGATAATGCAGCGCATCATGCAGCATGTTTCTGTGCTTACAAAACAGCATATCCTATAGTTTACTGCCAGTAATGATAAAAATGTTGTTACTATTATATAATATATTCAAAACATTTGAGGAAGTACATAATCATCTTAGAATAAAATTGAAGCGATTCATAACTTACTAAATTAAATTTATAAAATCAAATTAAAAGATAACGCATAGCATTTAATACGCTGAAAAAAAGGTTAAAAGACTTTGAATATCATGTAGCATTTGTTACAGGAAGAGAAATCAGGTAGGGAATTTTTTTCAATGTAAACACAACATATGAAGCAAGAAAATGTAATTTGTCCTTGTACACTAATTTCTCCAAAATACCAAGTTTCCCTATTACGAAAATGCTGGAAGTATATTACAGTTTTCAATATTACCAGAAAAATAAAACTTTGATAAAGAAGGAGTGTTACAAAACATTAAGCAGCAATTTTCTTCCATATGCAAACTGCCTCTGCTGTGTACTTACAGCATTTTAAAATTTTTCATTCAGGATATCATTTTCGAAATCAGTGCTTCTTTTATCTCCACAGTTTTCCTCCCTTATGAACTCAGTTCACTTAATTTCCTGAGAAATGGGAGTGGATAAATAACTGTAAAGTTTGTTTAAGAGTTAAAAGAATGAACAAACTTGCATTTCTTTGGCATTTTTCACATCATTAGGGTGTCTCAAAGTACTTTACATCTGATCAAGTATTTGTGAAGTGGAGTTATTGTTCCAATATAGAAAGTATGGCCGCTATAAATTTGCATTCAGCAAGCCCTCCAAAATTTTAATGACCAGAATTCTGTTTCAGCAGTATTGGTTGAGGTAGTCAAAAATGGTGAAGCTGCCATGGATAACTCGCTATTATGTTTTGACATAGAGCCCCAGGATCTTGTGCATCTTCTTGAGATGGGGCCTCAGTTTAAAGTTTTTTTTGAAATACACCTTTAACATTTCAGTTCTCATTCAGTACTGCACCCTGAGAAGGTAGCCCATATTTTTGCATTTTTGTCTTCGAACCTTCTGAATCAAAGGCTAGAGTGCCATCTCTTAAGTCATGCTGAAACCACAATCCAAATGAACTAGCTTTGGACGATCCTGCTTTTTGAGGACATTTAATGATTCGGCACTAGAAATGGTGCGAATTATCCAATGTTATTATTGAAATTAAATATACACAGAGCAATTGTTTTGAAAACAGTTAATAAGTTTAAAAAAAAAGGCTGGTTGGTCTACCTGTCTTGCCTTATGTGCAGTCTCAGTGTCATGCTGTCTTAAACAGCTTAGAGCCCTTGAGTCTGGGGAGTTCCCAACATTGAAGTCAATTACACCAGCACTGTCTATCATCCACTGTAATAAGAAAGAAAATTGATAGCCCACAATAAAATAAATAAGAACTGGGATACAGTACCTGCCTGGCAATATGATTCGTGGTAATGCCATGTTTCATCAGACACTTCTGGCCCCGATGGTCAGCAGGATTCCCTATTTCATACGTTGATGTTGCTGCACTGTCTATTTTCCACTGGAAGAAATACAAGTGCCACTCTGTTTGTTTCCCCATGCAGTCAAGTAATGATTATGTTACCAGTTAGATGAATGCCACAGTTAGGACTTTAAAGTGGTGTTAATTTGCAACTTCACTAGAATCAAACTTTAATGATATAACAATTACATTGACTTCTATTGATTTTCATTCAATAGCATGAATGTTTGACCCGCACTTAAGATAATTTCAAATACAGGTTGCAAACTTTGCTCAGCCAAGCTTGTGACCAGAACTCCTCCCTTCAAAAAACAAATGCTGATTGGATGCTGTTGTCCCACCATTACTAGAATACATATTTATATCAATGTGCCAAAGCATGTTTTTAAGCAACACAAAAGAAAATCAAAGGTGTGGTAACTCTTACAAGGGAAAATGCATTAGACAACTTTCTGCAAATATATGTGAGGCAAAACAAAGGAACATATTGTGGTGTTCAATCAATATGAACTACCATCAAAAAATTAACTAAGGAGCAAAATGCAATATGAAGTAGTTAATTGGCAAATGAGGAAAGGAAAGAAAGAGCTTTGCAAGACCTTGAATTGCTTTTCAACAGAAACAGCAAAGATAGACAACTGCAATGAAGTGTATGTGATTACATGTAATTTGTTTTATTTGTTCTTGGGATGCTAATTTGGCATTTTTGCTGATTATACTTGCTCTTGATTAGGTGAAGACAGAAAGGTACTTAGGAAACAGTAGGACCCTTTAGGGACTAAGGGGCAACCTGTGCATGAAGCCGGAGAACATTGGTCGGGTGTTAACTTGTGCTGAGCTTCTCTGGAGCACTGCAGCAAGCTTGAGACAGAGATGATGGCCAGGGAACATGGTGCTATGTTGAAGTGGCAGGCATTTAGAGGCTCAAGATCATTTTGCAGACAGAATGTAGCTGTTCTACAAAGCGGTCATCCAGTCTGCGTTTAGTCTCCCCAGCATAGACCTGAACACATTGTGAGTAGCAAATAGAACAGACGACATCGAATGAAATGTCAGTAAATTACTGCTTCGAACAGATGGTGGGTCTAGGGCCTTGGAAAGTGAAGAGGGTGGAAGGAATGCGTAGGTGTTACACCTTCTGCGGCTGTAAGGAAAGTGCTGTGGGGCATGTAGAGGCGATGGGTGTGGAAAAGTAGTGGACCAGTATGTGCCAGAGGGAACAGTCCTTGCAGAAGGCTGGCCAAGGCAGGGGAACGGAATGCGTGTCTGGTAGTGGCATCCCACTGGAGGTGATGGAAATGGCAGCCAATGACCCTTTGGATGGAAATGCTGGTGGTGTGGTACCTGTGGACTGGGAGACCCTGCTATTGCTGTGGGAAGAAAGAGAAGGTGTAACTGCTGAAGTGTGGGAGATGTGTCAGACATGGCTGAAGGCCCTGTCAACCATGGTACTGAGGAATCCTCGGTAAAGGAAGAAAGTGGACATTTTGGAGGCATTCTTGTAGAAGCTGGCATCATTGGAACAGATGCGCCAGAATTGCAGAAACTGGGAGAATGGAACACAATCTTGACAGAAAGCAGGGTGTGAAGATGTATAGTCAAGGTAATTGTGGGAATCCACCCTCACCCTGTCTTCAGCATATATACCGATCTTTTCCTAGTTACAGCCAGTTCTGAAGAAGGGTCACTGGACTGAAACATTAACTCTGCTTTCTTTCCACAGATACTGATGTACCTGCTGAGTGTTTTTTTGCAAGTTCTGTTTTTGTTTCCAAATTTTTAAATTGTATCTAGCCACAGGGGAGGTGTAAAATACTGTAGGACAGCTAATGTGATTCCACTTTACAAGAACAGTGGTAGACAGAGGCAAGGGAATTATAGACCAGTGAGTCTAACATCAGTGGTGTAGAAGCTATTGGAGGAAATAGTGAAGAAGATAACTAATCTTCCTTTAGACAGCCAAGACTTGATTTGGGATTGCCAGCATAGCTTTGTCAGAGGGAGATCATGCTGAATAAATCTAGTTGAAGATTTTGAGGATATGACCAAGTCATTGGATAAAGATGTGGCAATTAAAGAGTAGAACCAAAAACGTAGCTCAGATTACTACCTGAGCTACGAGCCAACTGGCACAAAGTCAACAAGGTTAAACAGTGGGAGAAACGGGCTCAAATTAATGAGATATTAGCACCAGTACTAAAGGAGGGAGTGGTTTTGATGCTATGGCCTCCATCTAATTCAGACTGTACCTTACATGAATTTCAACAAGACCTTTGACAAGGACCCACGTGAGAAACTGACAAAGACGACAGAAGCTCAAGGGATGCAGGATAACATGGCAATACTGATTAAAAACTGGTTCAGTGATGAAAGACAGAGGGTGGTATAGAAGGCTGTTCATGTGACTGGAGCCTGGTATGCAGTGGCATACGACAGGGATCAGTGCTTGGTCTCTTATTGTTTGTGATATTCATAAATGATGTAGATGAGAATGTGGGAAGGATGATAAGCATGTTTGTGGATGACAAAGATTGGCTGGGTTGTTGACAGTGGAGGAAGATATTAGGTTACAGAAGGATATAAATGGATTGGTTAGATGGCAGATCAATGGCAGATGCAATTTACCCCTGATAAATGTGAGGTGATGCACTTCGGAAGAAAGAACATTAGGGAGTACTCAATGAATGACAAGACACTATGAAGCTAACAGGAGCAGAGGGATCTTAAGGTTGCTTGTTGACAGGTCACTGAAGGTGGCAAGACAGAGAATTAAGGTAGTTCAGAAGGCATATGGGATGTTGCCTTTATCAGTCATGGCACAAGTTATAAGAGCAGGGAGGTTATGCTGAGCTGTACAGAACTTTTATTAGGTTGTAGCTGCAGTACTATGTGCAGTTATGGCCACCTCACTATAGGAAGGATGTGATTACACTATATGGGGTGCAAAAGGAATTCACCAGGATGTTGCTTGCGATGGAGCATTCCAGCTATAGTAAGAGGCTGGATAAGCTACAGTTGTTTTCTTTGGAGTAAAAATGGTTGAGGGAGGACCTGAAAGAAGTGTATAAGATTTTGCGTGTCATGGGCAGGGTGAAAACAAAGCAGCTGTTTCCCTTGGCTGAAGGGTCAATAATTTTAAAGTGCAAGTAATGAGATTAGAAGGCATGTGACCAAAATGTGGTGGGTGATGGTGGCTGTGGTGGTGTGTGTGTTTGTGTGTGCGTATTTCTTTTGGCGGGGAGGGTATCTGGATTTATTGCCTGGGAGGGGTGTTGAGGCAGGAAACCTCAAACTTTTAGAAGTTTCCATGAGCAGATGAAGTGTCATAACATTCAAGGTTGTGGGCCTAGTGTGGGAAAGTGGGACTAGTGTAGGTCGTAGTATATTTTTGTTGATACAGATTTAATGAGTCAAAAGGCCTGTTCTGTACTGTATGATCTTATGAGAGTTTTGTTTAAAGAACTGCAATCCAGGTGGCTCAGGTACGTGCACAGTACTGTTAGGGAGGGAGTTTCAGGGGTTAGATCCAGCCGTTGCGAAACAATGACAATATAGCAGTGAGGATTGTATGTGGTTTTGAAGGGAATTTGCAATTAGTGGTGGTGTTATTTGTTTATTGTCCTGTTCCTGTAGTTATAAAGGTCATAGATTTGGAAGGTATTTATGAAGGAGCCTTGGTAAGTTATTGCAGTCCATCTTGCAGATCGTATACATTACTGCTACTGTGTACCAGTAGTTGAGCGAATGCACATTTGACGTGGTGAATGGGGTGCTGATTCAGGGAACTGCTTTATCCTGGATAACAGTGCACTTCAAGTGTTGTTGGTGCTGCACATAGCAAGCCATGACACTCCTAACATGGCCTTACAAATGGCAGACAGGCTTTGCGGAGGCAGGAGCTGAGTTATTCATCACAGAAGTGCCCCTTTCAAACTGGATGCAAAACTAGATCACAATGTGATCACTGATACCTAACAGTATCTTAACTCTGAAAACATTAATTAATCCTGTCACATTACACGATACCAAGTCTAATATAACCTGATAATGAGCTGCATTAAGAAACTCTGTAGAAAGTACTCTTAATTCCTCATACAGGCCACTCCTGCCATTTTACTTTTCCAGTTTAACATGAGTTAAGATCACCAATGACTATTGCTATAAAGAGATAACAAGGTGTAGAGCTGGATGAACACAGCAGGCCAAGCAGCATCAGAGGAGCAGGAAAGCTGATGTTTTGGGTCTAGACCCTTCGTCAGAAATTGGCCTGCTGTGTTCATCCAGCTCTACACCTTGTTATCTCAGATTCTCCAGCATCAGCAGTTCCTACTATCTCTGTAACAATGACTACTGCTGTTCTTTTATCACAAGAAACCAATATTTCTTTTTGCATATTTTGTCCAACATCATGTTTGTTATTATGGGGCCGGCAGACCACTCCTACCAGTGACATCCTTCTCCTACTATTGTTCATCCTCACTCACTCAAACCGATGCTACATTCTGATCTGCAAAAGCCCAAATGCCATTCTTGAATAACAGTACTACCACTCTGCCTTTACCTAGTTTCCTGTTCTTTCTCAAATGACATATATCCCTTCATATTCAGGACCTAATTCTTGTCATCCTGAAGTCATGCTGTTTCCGATAACATGATGTGGTTCGTAGGAGAATTCAGCAATGGTAATGCTGTTAAACATCAAGGGAAGATTGTTAAATTTTATCTTGTTGGAGACAACCATTGTTTGGTGCCTGTATGACATCAATGTTACTTGTCATTGAGAAGTCCAAATTTGAATATTACCCAGGTCTTGCTGAACATTGGCGCAGACTGGTTCAGAGTCTGAGTTACAAATGATACTGAACATCATGCAGCCATCAGTTAGCATCTCCACTTCTGACCATATGTTGGAGGAAAGGTCATTGCAGAAGCAACTGTAAATGGCTGTGCCTAGGACAGTACTCTGAGAAACTCCTGCAGCAATGTCTGGCGGCTGAAATAATAGGTGCCAAATAACTACAAGCATCTTCCTTTGTGCTAAGCATGATACCAACCATTGAACAGTTCTCCTGATTCCAATTGACTTCACCTTACCAGGGATTCTTAAATACCAAACTTAGTCAAATACTGCCTTGATGTCAAAGGCAGTCACACTCAACTCACCTATGGAATTTAACTGTTTTGTACATGTTCGGACATAGGCTGTAAAGAGGGCAGGAGTTGAATGGCTACAGTTGGATTCAAGGTAAAGATGAGCACAAAATGGGAGGTACCAGAACGGATTGGAGAATGGTTATGAAACAGAAAAGAGACAGTCGATGTTAAGTCAGGTTTCCTGGACAAGTGGAAATTAGAAGTAGTGTGATGCAGGAATATGAGCTCTGATTACATGTAGGTAAATGATATGGTCTCAGGAATTGAAGGGTGTGTGTCAAAATGTACCAACGATACCAAATTTTAGCATGAGTGGGTGAAGGAGGTGACTAACGATCTACCAAATTAAAGTCAATATCGTGAACAATATCTTGGTGGCTCACTTATTCCTTGGAAATTATAGTTATGATCCATCTTTAGTGCAATGAAACACCCCAAGGTACATTACAGGAGCACTATAATACAAATAATAAGTGATCCATATAAGGAGACATTAAATGAGGGTTTCAGCAGCAAATCAGTTCAGAAAGGAGCGAATGCAGTCAATATATGGAGACATAAGCAGGTAGTCTTAGTGATTATGTAAATAAGGCTGTAAGTTCATTTCAGGGTCAAATATGATCCAAGGGAGTCTCTGACCTCTCAGACAGACAATGAGAGATAGAGTCAGTAGCTAAGCAATAAAGTTTGCAGCAGAGCACCGAAAACGATCGCTTCAATCTTGCCAACATTTAGTCGGAGGAAATGTCTATTTGTCCAGTAGGTTGTCATCTAACCAATCTGACAATTTTGCGACAGCAGAGGACTCAAGAGGTGGTGGTGAAACAGAGTGAGTGTCATCAGTCTAAATGTCAAACCCAACACTGTGCTTTTGGAGGATTCACAGTAAGGCACCAAGGAGATGAGAAATAAGAGGTGACCAAGGACAGATCCTTGGGGAGCAACAGAAGAATAGGATGGAAACAGGAAGAGAAGACATTGCTGGTGCTTCTCCGGCTATAGAAGAAGTAAAGCAAAGGATATTAAAATATCTTACATAAACTGTTAAAAGCAGCAACAGGTTTGACATGCTCATAAGGGGTGCAATGTTCCATCATTTCTAGAGGTACGGAAAACAAATCTGAGAGGTAACGCAAAGTTCTGATCTATATAATAAAAAAAACAGAGTAATTGCAGAAAATACTTACAAGGATATCACCAGCACTAGAAGTTACAAATTGGATTGAAAGGTTAGGTCTCTTTTTGCTGGGACAAAGACTAAGAGACGCATGAAAAGACTTCATACTCATTAAAGTTTTCAATGGAGTAGATGTGAAGAATCTCTTTCAAAATGTAATTAGTCCAGAAAAAGTGTTTGTATTAATATTTAGTGACCATTTATTAAGTGAAGAATTTCTTTCCATAGAGAATGGTGAGGACGTGGAACTCTGTGCCACACGGGATGGTTGATACCATTGACACATTTAAGAGAATGGTCAATGTGGACATGAGAAAAAAATCAAATTGATGGACAGTGGGAAGGGTAGGAATAAAGAATGAGAGCAATTTTGTGTACATTAAAAAGTGACATTTACCATTTGAACTAAATTGCTGGTATGTGCTATAGATTCAAAGTAAGAAAGTCCTCTTGGAAAACAATCAGAAAAATAAACCTTTGACATTATTCCCAAGTACATAATGAGCCAGAAGGACTGGGTAAGTCCCATCTGCACCACAGGTGTGACATAACACTTCTGCTTAAAAATATAACATGTAAAGCATATAATTGTTGCATTTAGGTTAAATTTTCACTGTATTGTGACCAGTAATAGTATAAACAATTAAGTGCAAACTTGAAATCTTACACAATTTTTCGGTACAGAATCAAATCAGAAATCCTGAGTGTGTCCATTGCTAATAAATACACTAGTGCAGATTCAGCACAAGGACACCACCAGGAAATTGATATCAAGCATATTCAAAACATAGCTGGTTTATGCTTTTGATTTATCCACTTATTATGGATTATTTATTTAGAACTTTAATAACTAAGATTTTTTGAAAAAGTGAGTAGGGCTTACTTTGTTTGTAATGCCTCGATCTGTTACCAGTTTCCTGAAGATAGCTTCAGCAATTGGAGATCGGCAAATGTTGCCTTAAAAAAATTCAAAAACATGATTGCATGAGTTTTCTCTAAAGTTTTATAGCAGGTGTATCATAGTTGAAGTATATAAAATTCCTGTACTTGATAGAAGCTAAACAGAAGTATGATTTATATGCAAATTTGATTTCCATATACCTCCAGTTTGTATACACAATTAAGATATTTACAGAAAAAGTTTCTCAACAGAAGTGAACTTAGGAAGCATTAGTTCTTGCAGACAAAATTATTTAATCAGCCATATAATTTCAATCACACCAAAATCTACTATTTAAGAGCCAATATCATCTGGTTTTTTTGAACAAGTCTACCTCAGATAATACCAATAATGGTTTACACTTCAATCTATATTACTGACTCGACATATGTCTAGGGACCTTATGCTATATATACATCATTAAGTGACAGGTCATAAGAATGGCATGCAACTGGTTCCACAGACCTGCTCCTGACAGTCTATCAGACCACTGTTGATCGTATCTTTGATTTCTCTCCTTTGATAGCCTTATCTAATATTCTGATTAGCCTTCTCTGGATCTAAAGGGTTCCTCAATTAAGTCATCTTATGGGGACATGAAAAATGAATGCACTATTTAACATAAATTGATTCATCACTGGTCTATAATGCAGGAGGAATGACGACCAGAGAAAACAAAGACAATGTGAAGAGATTCTTTTTAACATAGTAAGAGAAGATATGGAATAGACTGCCCCAAAAGGTTGTGTTATTCAAAAGTGAATAACAAGTTTAAATAAAATGAAATAAATATGTTCTTAAAAATAAATTTGCAGGGTCCAGGACAATACATTGTATTTATATATCACCTTTGACATAATAAACCATCTGGGGCAATTTACAAGTGTGTCATCAAATAAAGCCTTATGCAGCTTGGGGTCAAACCTTATCACGAGCAACTGACTAAAAATTCGGTCAAAGTAGTAGATTTTTAGAAGCAATTTACATGGAGAAATCAGAGGCAGTATAGGGAGGGAATGCCAGGGCATTGGACCTTAACAGTGGAAGGTGAATCAATGAGGGAGCAAAAACAACCAGGCATATTCAGGCTTCTAGAATTGGAAAGTACAACTACCTTAAAGGATTGAGATGCTGGAGGTTACAGGTATAAGGAGTGACCCATGAATTTAAAAACAAGATGAATTTGAAAACCGACATGTTGCTAAACCAGGAGCCAACAACTGGTAGCCAAGCTCAGGGGGCCAACTGGATTACTGTGCATCAGGACACACAGCTGAACTTTGGAGGATCTCAGTTTAGATTGGGTAGATTGTGGGAGACCAGCCAGAAGTGTACTGGAATAATCATGTCTAGAAATGACCAATAGTATGGATGAGAGTTTCAGCAGCACAGTCAAGGTCAAAACTCTGCAACTTTATGACAATGGGGCAGGTTGTACATACAGAAGAACTGGAGAGTTGGCCTAATTGGATAGCTGTACGGCAGAGGCACGGTGGCGTCCTTTGAACGACTAACCCAGCACCCCAGGCAAATGGTCCGTGGAGGGGAGAATTTAAATTCCACCAGATGGAATTAAGAGCTAGTTTAACGGTGACCGTTGTTGGTTGGCCCTCTGGTTTAAGCAATAACCTTCAGGGAAAGAAATCTGCCACCAGCACCTGCTCTGGCCTAGCCGTGTGACTCCAGACCTGCAGCACTGTGAATGACTCTTAAATGGTCCCTGGCCTAGCCGGGGACGCCCACATCCCATGAAGAAACGGACCGAATGGTTACCCTCGCACACGGCCCCTCCAACAATCCTCCGCTGCTGGGTGGGGGCTGGAGCTGAGAGACGTTTAGGTGCGCGCGCGGGCCGGGCAGCCGTTACTCCCCACAAGGCCACCCTCGTTTGTTTGTTCGTTCATTCATTCATTCATTCTCACTCACTCACCCAAACAGACAAACAGAACCGACTTCTGCCCGCCCGCCATCTTCACCGGGTCCTACCAGGAGGCCGCGTCACTCGCCTCCGTCTACCCTTCTGCCTGCTCCGCGCAGTCTCCTAGGACCCGCTCGCTGGAAATCAACGCGGCCAGCGGCTAGCCCCGATTCCTCCGTCCCGTCATTTTTCTAAAAAAAAATGTACTAGCATCAGCCGTTTTAACATCTAGGCGGGTTGGTGGAAAGAGTCCTAAATCTTTGGCACGTCCTCGGACAGCTCCAAACCAGGGGTCCTTGAGGACCTGTTGGGTAGTGTCTAGGTGTGGTTAGCTCAGGTAAACCCAGAAAGTGAGTTTGGGCTGGTACTCTAATAGTCTGCATTTAAAGGTTTTAGAAGAGCATTATTTGTAAAAGTAAGTTTTCCTTTTGCCTTTTACTGTGTAGATTGGTACACGTTTTGGGAGAAACCCTTTGGGAGGTTTTTCTGAAGTGTAATATTTGTGGTGAAACACGTATTTTTGAGTTATGGACACAGTTGAGATGGACATTCAGCACATTCGTTCCACTCAATCGTAGAAGCATTAAAGGATGTAGTTCACCTCATTGTGTCCTATACGCTTGCTCTTTCCTATCGTCCTTCTTCCACATGATTATACTTTTTCTACTATTTATCTAAGAATGTTTTGAAAATTATCAAATTTGCTTACTCCACCCTTTGGGCATTCCATTCCAAATCCTAAATCACTTATTCCGGCATTTTATCCAGTCATCTCGCTCCTGGTCCCTTTGCTGATTAACTTAAGTCTCTGTCCTTTGATTCCTGACCCTTCATGGTAGAAACCGTTTCAGTTGTTTACTCTATCAATAACCTTAATGATTAAAAATACTCAATTAAATGTTCCCAACATTGAGTAAAAGTACTCTTTTTGAAATGTGGCTGCCAAAATTAGCACTGTAGTTTGGCTGAATCCTAACCTGTGATTTCTGAATGTTGAACATAATTCTTTTGCATTCATACTCTATTCTATATGTTCTATTTATAAAGTGTTTTAAAAACAATATTTATGACTTGCATATATACAGCCAGGCTTAGACACTCCATTCTCTTTAAAATTGAACTGTTTAGATTGTTTTGCATCCCTCATACTGAAATTAACATTGTTTATTAATTTCTGCATGTTAATAACAATATGTTGATACAAAAATCAATGCATTTCTGATCCATATCAACCAGAAGATGATTGAAATAAAATCAACAACAAATGATTGTAATCATATGTATTTTGTTCATTTTGATGCATAATTAGAAGCAGAAACAACAAAAAAGTAAAGCAGATTTATTAGAACTTGATGTGAGCTTTGTCATGTAAGTAATTAGGTCATTAAAAACAATAAAATAAATGCTTTTATAAATGTGTTTTCCAGTAGTGATACTGTGAATTGTAAGCACTTGAAAATAGCAAAATTCAAAGCAATAAATGTGAGAATATAACTTATCGGCAAGGAAAAAATGGACATAGTGACATTGGGAAATTGTTGAACAGAGGAATATTTGTTGTTTAGGGAACTTCCTATTTTGGGGCCACTGTGTTAATTTTGGACTCACTTCAGGTACGCTGAAATAATTAATTTTGAACTTGAAAATATGCTAGCCCCACTGTTAGGATTGAAGGAAGGGTGCTTGTAAAATCCAGGAGATGACCATCCCGCCACCTATTCATTCGTCTCCACCCTCCGTGAAATGTTAGGGGAGGAATGGGAGAGGCATACTTAACAAACCAGCCTTGACATCCCAATTACACCATAAGGCACAGCAGCAGAAGTAGGCCATTCAGCCCATCGAGTCTGTTACACCATTCAATGAGATCATGGCTGATCTAATAATTCTCAACTCCATTTTTCTGCCTTTTCCATACAAATGTTGAGTTCCTTAAAGATTAAAAATCTGAACCATCCTTCTTGGGGCTTATTGATGCCCTTGCATGGCCAATTAATGGTATTTGAGTATTTTACACTTGGGGACCATGGGCATATGGTCCTACTTTGTGGATCGTATGTATCCATCAGATGCCCACCCTGAAAGTTTAAACATTCCACTGGGGACTCGGATATGGAATCTTGTAGTGGTAGATGGTGGTATTTGAATTCAATAAAAGAGAAAATCTGGAATTAATGATCTCATGATAAGAATGGAACCATTGTCAATTCTTGCCTGGTTCACAAGTTCTTGAGGGAACATAATTGCTGTCCTTAGAGACAAAACACTGTAGATGCTGGAATCCAATGTAGACAAATGGGAGGCTGGAAGAACACAGCAAGCCAGGCATCATCTGGAGGGAAGGAACAATCAATGTTTTGGGTATTACTCTTCTTCAGGACTGAATGTGGGGGTAGGGCAAGCTACAGATAAAGATGGGGGAAGAGGTGGAAGCGGAATGGTGGTGATAGTTGGACGCTGTAGTAGGTATGACCTGGTTGGTCGATGAGAGGGATGAATTCAGTTGGTGGCTGGAAGGGAGGATTAGAAGGTGGAATGGAAAGGAGGAGGTGGGGCTGAAAGCGGAGTGGAGGAATGGGTGGGAAGGTTATTTCAAATTGGAGAACTCAGTGTTGAGTCTTCCAGGCTGCAGGATGCTCAGGCGGAAGATAAGGTGGTGTTCTTCAAATTTGCATTCTAAGTCACTGCGACACTGGAGGAGGCCGAGGATGGGCATGTCGGAAGGGGAGTGGGGCAGGGAGTTGAAATGGGAGGTTAGGTTGGCCGTTACACTCCAGGTGAAGATGCTTGGCAAAACGGTCGCCTCGTCTATGTTTGGTCTCACCGATGTGGAGAAGACCACATCGGGAGCACCAGATGCAATAACTAGGTTGGAGGAGCTGCAGGTGAAGCTCCGACTCACTTGGAAGGACTGTTTAGGGCCCTGAATGGAGGTGAGGGAGGTGGTGTGTGGGCAGGTGTTGCATCTTTTGCGGTTACAGGGGAAGATACTAGGCGAGTTGGAGTGGTTGGTGGGGATTATGGTGTGAACTAAGAAGTGGCGAAGGGAATGGTCCTTGTGCAGGGCAGAGAGTAGTGGGGAGTGGAAGATGTTCCGGGTGGTAGGGTCTAATTGGAGTTGGCAGAAGTGTTTGAGGATGTGGTTGCTGGTGGGGTGGACAGAAAGCACGGACTAGGTGCTTGTACTAAACAACAAACACTATTTTTTTACAAATTATTAGATTCTAGCTACAGGTAAACAATACTGAACCGTTGTCATATATCTTTACTAATTAAAACTGGATTTGCAGTTTAGTGGTTTCTGTTCATAGAGTTGCTGAGATGATTCTTGTGATTCTTTTTTTTATCACAATGCTGTATCACAGTCTTCCTTCACTGGAACTTTTGCCAGTTTGCAGGAGGCGCAGAATGGCTGATTCACTTTTTAAAGGTCTCTGATGTATCAATTAAAGGTCATTGCAAAATGAAAAGGTTTTCTTCAAGCTTTAGGTGGATTTTACTGCAGAGAACAGAGCTGGTGGTGGTCTGATTGCTTCTGTCTATCTTAATCACAGCATCAAAGTATTGCACCATAAGACATAGGAGCAGAATTAGGCCATTCAGCCCATTGAACCTGCTCCACCAGTCAATCATTCAGCCCCATTCTCCCACCTTCTCCCTGTAACCCTGGATCTCCTTACCATTCAAGAATCTATCTATCTCTGACTTAAGTACACTCAATGACTTCGTATCCAGAGCCCTCTGTGACATTGAGTTCCATGGATTAATCAACTAGCTGAAGAAATTCCTCCCCATCTCAGTTCTAAAGGCTTATTCCTTTACTTTGAGCTGTGCCCTTGTGTCCGAGTCTCTCCATCTAGGTCAGCCAGTATTCTGTAAGTTATCTGCAAACATAGCAACAAAGCCCTCAGTTCCCTCATCCAGATCATTGATGTATAACCTGAATATTAGTGGTCCCACAACTCCACTAGTCATCGGCTGCCGTACTGAAAAAGACTCCTTTATCCCTACTTCTGCCTTCTGACAGGTAATCAGTTCTCTATCCATGCCAGTACCATGCCCCTAACACCACGTGGCTTACTTAGCAGCCTCCTGTGTGGCATCTTGTCAAAAGAACTTCTGCAAATCCAAATTAATCTCATCCAATGGCTCTCCTTTATTTAACTTGCTCATTATACCTCAAAGAATTCTAACAGACTTGTCAGGCATGACCTCCCTTTGACAAAGCTGTGCTAACTTACTCTGATTTTGCCATGCACTTCTAAGTACTGCGCAATCTCATTCTGAACGTTGGACGCTGAAATCTTACCAACGATTGAGATCAGGTTAATCAGCCTATAATTTCCTGTCTTCTGCTTCCCTCCTTTCTTAAACAGGGGTGTTACAGTAGCTATTTTCCAACCCTTTAGCACCTTACTCCAGTGATTCCTGAGAGGTCACCACCAAAGCCTCTACAATCTCTTCAGCTACTTCGCTCAGAACTCTGGGGTGTAGTCTATCTGGTATGCGTGATTTATCCAGCTTCAGACCTTTCAGCTTTCCCATCACCTCCTCCTTAGTGATGGCTACTACACTAACCTCTGCCTCCTGAGTCTCTTGAAGTGCTTGCATTCTGCTGGCATCTTCTGCTGAAGACTGATGCAAAGTACCTACTCAGTTCCTCAGCCATTCCATTGTTTCCCCTTTTTACTGCTTCAGCCTCATTTTCTAGCAGACAAAGTCCACTCTTGCTCCTCTCTTACCTTTTCATATCTCTTAAAATAAACTCCTGTAATCTTCTCCCCTCACTATATATTTTTCGTTACCCTCTGCTGGTTTTTATTGGCTACCCAGTCCTCTGACTTTCCAGTAATCTTCACCACATTGTAAGCTTTTTCTTTTGCTTTCCTTCCATCCTTGACTCCCCTTGTCAGCCATGGTTGTCTCATGCTCAATTTAATGTGTTTCCTCTTCCTTGGGTTGAATTTCTGTTGTGCGCATGCTCCTACCATTGCTGCTCCACCGTCTTGCCTGCTAGGCTACCCTTGGATTCAACTCTGGCCAGCTCCTCCCTCACATTTTTGTAGTTACCTATATTCAGTTATAATACCATTACAGCTGATTCCACCTTCTCCCCCTCAAACTGTAGGGTGAATTCTATCATAAAATGGTCATTGACCAATACGGGTTTCTTCACCTTAGGCACCCTAATCAAATCTGCTTCAATACACACCACCAAATCCAGAATTGCCTGTATCCTAGTGCTCCAAAAAACCATCTTGTAGACACTCCACAAATTCCTTTTCTTGAGATCTGCTACCCACTTGGTTTTCCCAGTCTATTTGCATATTGAAGTCCCCCATGATTATTGTAATAGCTTATTCCTTAGATGCCTTTTCTATCTCCTGATTCATTTTTTTCCCCACATCCTAACTA